CCACTGTCGGCTGCAATTCCCGCACTCCTGTCTCTAATTGCTATTTTATGTTGGCGCTAATGAACGTAACTTATCCCCAGTTTACTCAGTTATGCTCCTTGCAAGCTGATTATCGATATGTGCTATTTACTATCTTAGATTGTGACTATGTATAATAAATGTTAGTACTAACTATTTATAGTAACTATTTACCTTAGTTTGAATGTAGTGAGATAACTGTAATTAAATTTACCCTACAAACATATATTTTAATTAATTGAATATCGTATTAAATAAATATTAAAATTTTGATGCGAATGTTCTGTATATAAGTTATATACATAAATAATTAATTAATATAAATTATGATTATTTGTATGAAACTAACACGAGAATAATATCCAATTAATAGGCTATTTTACTATAACTTTACAAAAAGTATTCGGATCTTATTGAAATATGCTTAGAATTGACAGAAATTGTGTAAGATATAGGTAGAACTTTGTATAACATATACAACTACAGTGGAATTGTAAACCTACTAGAACTTTTTGATGTCTTTTGAAAATAAATATTCATATATGTATATATTTTTATATAATGTCGGTCGAGCCATACACGTTTGCTAATACGATTTAATTTTATGCCGGATTTGCGATAAGATTCTCGCGCGGGTTGTGTCTTGCACCCACCAAATGTTCCGCGAACAGCGGCCCATGTTACAAGCGTTTTATATTTTTCCTCTTTTGGCACCTTTCATACACGTTTTTCCGTTACACAAATTTCATAATTTTTGGACCCTTTCCCGTCTTCGTCACGTATACTTTTATCCATTACTAAACTAAACTTATGTAATACTAAATAAATACATAAGTATACAAATTTAAAAAATCTAATGGTAAATTAACTAATCGCAAATACAACTCTTAGAACCGTAGATTCAATAGATAACAAAGCTTCTTGATTTAAAATCTTCTTGATTTTAACGTCCAATTTAATAAATTCGGAAAATATTAGTAGATAACGCAATTACTTAATAATATTTGTTGATATAAGTTTTATGAAATATAAACTTAATATCGTTGCAGTAACAATATTTAGAGAATAGAAATAGCACAGTTAAAAACATTTGAGCATATAATTACTAATAAGATTACTAACATTTGTCCTTAAGTACATTTCTGTGTAAATTATAAGTATATAAGTAATAAGTTGTACTTGTAGTAATAAGAGTGAGTAAATTTGGCTACATATTTAAGTTTAACTATATGGATTCATTAAGTCAAGCAACAAAATCAAATATGAAATAGTTTAAAGAATTTTTATAGTTAATAGTTAGTAATATTATAAGTTTTAGTTTAATTTGTATTGGATAAACTACTTTTAGTGCCTACTTTTGTTTTATTACCATTTAGGACAGTTTTGTAATACAGGTTTCCGGTTCAGTTTAGGTACAGAACTGGAAACGTATGGTACTTAATTAAATTATTTTGTTTTATGTTTTATTTTTATATTTTATTTATGTTGTTAAAGCGATTTAAATTATTTAAACCGCTACCGTTTATGGTTTATACGGAACAGCTGGAAAAGCATAGAGGTTAATTTTCGTACCCCGCACATAAGCGCCGCCCGACGTACTTACCAACTTTAGAGATTTATAAACTCCTCTCGATCTTCAAGTTTAACGATGGTGCTTGTGTTAAATATAAATATATAAAAATACTATTTAAACGGTCTAATACAAAAACAGTAATCTAGTAATTCTTCTCATAAAACATGTACTTGCATATGGGTGTTAATATTGTAATAAATATATAAAAAAGTTAGATACTTCATTTTGTTTTCTGTATGGTAGGTAGGTCCGAGTATACGGTATAAAAATTATAAAACGAAATTTATATTGACAGCCTCGGTGGTCTAGTAGTTTAGCACACCGCTTTACTATCCGATGGTCGCGGGTTCGATTCCTCGCACGGTACAAACATTTGTATTCATGAGTACGATTGTTTGTATCGGTCTGGGTGTTTTCTATGTATTGTATGTATTTATTTACAAAAAAAACGCATCCGTGTATTTATATCAGTTGTCTAATGCCCATAACACAAGCTCTGCTTAGCTTGGGACTAGATGGCACTGTGTGAATTGTCTAGGGTTAATATTATATATTATTTTATATCCTACTATCGCTCAAGATGTTAAAGTCTCAAGAAAGTACAAACACTGATATTCATTTTTACAACTGATTACAACTGACAACACGGACTAAATAAACTTTGTCTGCGTCGGTAAGCTGTAAGCTGTGGCTAGTAAGCTGTGTTTCGGTAGTAGGGTGATAAATATGAGATAGCTACGAATGGGTAGTATGTCGCGCCTGTATCGTCAGTCAGTCACATTATATTCATAATCCTATTAATGTGTGTGATTTCAAATACACAGGTAATGGTAACTTACTTACTATTAAATAAACCTACAGCTTGTTTGCTATTTTAAATACATTAAAAAAACATTAATATTGAGGAATATGCATTAATTATCTTAAATCAATGATAATACCATTAATAGATTTTGTGAAAATAGATACACAAAAAATGTTTCATCTATTGTGACAAACGTATTATTATAGACGAAATTGCGGTCATATTTAATTTTCAAGTCCCAAAACACGTTTGAATTAATATAATACATAGTATATTACGCACGTTTAAAGTGGAGTAACTGATTGTGGTACAACTGGCACAATTGGGTAGCAAGGTTTTCGTCATCACGCTCAAATTGATCTATTTAACGTTACAGATTCATCTCCAATCCCGCTATATCAACGTTGAATAGGACGGTTTAATGGCAATACATGAGAGTATTTAGATGTTACTGCAGTCATTGATGTATATCTAATTACATATAAATTGAATAATATTAATATTTTTTTTCCTTTAAAAATTTTCGGATTAAAAATAATATACAAGTTCTTCGAATTTTGATTGTTATTAAATCATATATGACAATAGGTACAGATAAAATAAAAAAGTACTTTGGTTTGATTCTTCAGTAATACTTGTATTTTAAACTAGCGGCAACAATTATATTATATATCTTACTAACTGCTAATCATTACTAATGATAGAACTGCTTTTTTTTTTGTTTTAGCACAATTTTATCTGAGGCATATGTCTTTAGAATATAATTAACTTTATCCATTAAACTTAAAAACAAAATAATTTTTAGTTACATATACGAGAAATCATTATCATACTCAACAGTAGGTAGACACACGAGTCTACAATTTCATAGTTTCAAAACCGAGGGATTTACTGACCAAAGGACCGAGGACGGCGGGTGGTCCTACTAAACCTCAAGTAATCCAAGCTCCATATTAAACCATAGGTGGCTGGGTGCTAACCTGAAGCCCCCAACCCGTAACCACCCCAAAGAACTTGCTAACGAAAACTATTGAAAGTTACTTACCTACGTGATTACGTTCACCCCGAAATTTTGCTATTTTAAAGGTTAAACCCGAGTGTTAACGCCACACCGACACTACTAGGTATTATTTAGAGATTATTGTATGGAGAAATTTATAAGTTCCAGTGGCGCGCTGTTTTGTTTACCAAATTCCCAAATAGTATTATGTAAATTCAATAACTGTTGGGCGGGCTCGAAGTTAGCTATTGTTTTCAATAGATACACTAAATCAGTTTGTTTCCAACACAATACAGTTACAGAGTTTAATTTCGTAATAAATAATAAATAAATGTTAATGCTATATAATCGTAGAAATATTTTTACTTTATTCTTTAAAATACTATAATAATAGCACTTAAATAACAAAAGTGTATTGAAGCAGCAAGAACTATTTAATATCGCGCTAAAGAAGCATCAACACAAAGAAGTGGGGTAAAAGCAGTGAACGGCACAAAGCGATTTCTAGGCACTGGCGGCAAGACATGGAGCGGGGATTAATTATTATTTTAACATTTTACTCGCTTTTTTGCATCGTCCGCGAGCAAGTCAAAAGCATTGCTTTCTCGCTTGAAAAGTTGCTAAATTATTAAGACGCCTTCTTAACGACAGTATTTTGAAGTATTTTTCAGTAGACGTCGAACGGGGAAGTTTTTACGCGATATTTACGCTTTTTGTTCAGCTTACCGGACAACGCGACGTTAAGTCACAAAAGAAGCGTCGACAGTATCTACCTATAGTCAGTCTATTATAATCAGAATAATTTTATTTTATACCAGGGTGACACGACCACGTTTTAGTGTGATTCAGAATTTTATTTTACTGAAATAGATGCGCGTGTTCGCGTACAATGTTAAATAAAATTATTACTAGACCATCTTTCGAGTATAGTGAACAAAATATATAATATAAGAATTAAAAATGAATATATAAAATTATGATTAGTCAGTGTCAGAGTTGGAATTTGTTTATACGATTTAGGTCTCTTTTTTCCATCAAAACGTCAAGATTTGATGAACAATTTTATGTGCTACACATGAAATAGGGAAGACGGAATTATTATAAGTAGAAAATGTTTCTAGCCATAGTTAAGAAAAGCTATACATACATGTTTGTACAGCACTTGCTTAAGTTTATGTCTAATTATAATTTAAATTATGTTACTTTCTTAAGCTGGAAATCAGACAAAAAAGTACTTAAACATTAATCACGTAAAAGAATAGTATAACTATCCACTTTTAATATTATTTTTTTCGTTAAAGTCGATTTACTTATCTGCGCTTTTTATTGAAAATATTTAAACTTGGAAAGTAAAAGGGTCTCTGCCCAAAGTAGAGTATTATTAATTAATTGATAATATATAATTGAATAACATATATAATATTAAAATGTATATTTTATATCTTATTGAATACCACCCGTATAAAAATTCGTTACCAGTTAAAAACTGGATTTTTTTTATTTTTAATGTCCTTTCTATGTTGGTGCAATAGTGTTATCAATTTAAAAAAAAGACAGACGTAATTTAAAGATCATTAAATTAACATTATTTTCTTTTGGCTCAGGTAAAACCTTTCCAGTACACTGCGTTGTGGAAGCAGTGTCGACCCTCGAAGAAGATGGTTGGAGACGGCGCACCGTCGTTGAAACCGACAGCTATGTCATCATACCCGCATCCACACCTTTCCAGGAGTTGGTCCCAGCAGCCATGATGAGACTTGGATATCCTCATGAACTATCTGCGTCCGCTAAAGGTAAATATTGTAAGCGAAATTTGCTATTAAAAACAAATTGGAAACTGCTATTTCCTTCCGATCTTGCGTTGTTACTTGTTGGGGCAATCAGGGTTTGATCATATAATGTCGTTCATAACAATTCTCATTACAAACAAATTGAAATTAATAGTTTTATGATTATGTATGAACTACTTGAATTAGTTATTTGACAATTATATTGTTCTGTACCATACAACTCGAGTTATCACTAAGTGTCAAATGGTATATTCAACATCCCGAAACAGTCAATGTAAATCTATTTCAAACGTCATCTGTTAATCGAGACAGTAGTTAATGTTAGTTGCATAGATAAGTATACATATTTTTATAACGATTGATTGATTTTTGTCGTTGTCATTCAGAGCTTTAACATAACAATATTACATGACAAAATACAGGTGTTAAATCCATCCTATTTGCGTACCCCGATGTTATAAATATCAAAGCAAGACAAAACAGAATCGAATGTGATGGATTTTGAGACACCTACATCCGTCGGAGTCACCATAATTACATATTTATATAACAATAATATACTGCCCTACTTTTATGCAGAATATTTCATTGTATAGCTATGTAATGCAGAATTCCATCTATACAATGATGCCTCGGGCTATGAAATGAATACATCAAACGGACTTCAATTTTACAGTTGGACTTTGATCGATTTTAAATCATGTTTAGATCATATTAATAGACGTATTGAACCAACAATAGATACACTTGTGTCCTGTTAGTGTCGTTCAATAATATTAGTTTCCAATCACAATGCTGTTTCTAAATCGAGAGTTATACCTATTTAGAGTAATGATAATAATGAATCTCAAGTAATTCCAAATTCCATTTAGCTATCTATTTTTAAATTAATCCTAAACTTAAATCTAGAAATCTGTTTCCATCTTCTGCTTATTATTAGAGTTCTTTTAATCAGATCGATCAGAATTAAGAGAATGTGAAATTTAATATGGGTGTTTGCATAAAATTTACTATTTATATAAAAGACAACAACAAATATCGTCACGACTGCCATGGCAGATAGGGTAGTTAGTTTCATTATCAAAAATTCAACGTGACCGTAAACGCAATACTTAACTTACTTATATTTACTGAGTATATTTGAATCCAAACTGTCTGCCAGATTTCAACGCAGGACCATCTGGGTGTAAGTCGGGGTAGTAAGCCACGACGCCCTCTGTCCCAATATCACTCAGTATTCTCAATAGCATGTTAAAATCTGTTCTTATTCTAAATTTAAATTATTATTTACGTTTAACAGGTTCAGTGGTGATCAACAATTGGAAACCATTACCCTTCGATAGAATCTCTGAGGGTGCACTAGCAACAGTTGGGGAGGTATTGGGGGAGCTGGCTACAGTGGCGACATTGCGCATACAATTGTTGAGGCCGAGACCGACACCACTGCAGGACATAAAGGACAAACTTCTGAGGCTTCTACTTGTTCAGAGTAGACCGCTGCTCATGTCGACAGGATGCCCTTTAGATGAGGTAACGTTGAATTTTACTTTTTATTAGTACATTAGCAATCTGCACTTATTTTGTGGGAATGCACTCTCTCTATTTTTTAAAATAATTAACTTCGCGTCGATCTCACTGACAATATGGGTTCTACAGGTACTTTTTTCGAATGATGTCTGTCGCACGTTCGATTCACCACCATTACAAATATTTGTATTCACGACTATCATTGTTTGTATTGGTCTTGGTGTTTCCATATACATATATTATATATGTAATTACAAAATAATCTATTTAAGTATATAGGTCAGGTATCTAATACCCACAATACAAGCTACACTTAGCATGGCACTTTGAATGGCATTGTGTGAAATGTCTTGGGTTTATTATTATTATTTTTTTAATGAAATCAAATAATGCCAAAAGAAAGCGACAGCAATTGCATTCAGTAGGTATAAAACATAAAGAGATTTATTTCGTATTCAAGGAAAGAAAACACATACACTTAATTAAAGATAAAATAATCTTTTACATAAAAATAACAATTCATAATTTGTTTCTCTATAACTCACCAAAATGTGTACCAATAATAGATATTTAGATGTATTATTCCTTTATCTAAAATATACATAATCTCCAACATTTCACCGCTGAACCGCACAAATCTATATTTGTTCAAAACACCTGTCGAATCGTATCACATCAACCGAGGGGCATTATCATCCTAATGGCGGTGACAGAGCTTGTCCGCTACACTGCGCTAAATCAACAATACTCGTGTAATGTACTTTAATGCTCCCAACCTAGCCTCACAATGAACCAGCACACTAAACCTTACCCCTTATTACCGTCGAATTCATTGTTTTCCACATTTAAGACCGCTCTAGACCTGGAGTTTTCTATAGAAAATCGTTCCGGGGTTGCAGCTTACACGTATTCATTTTGAAATGAGAATACATATAACGGTTTGTTTTAAATTGTGAAAACAAATTATGATTTATTAATTTATGAGTCCCGTTCGTAATAGTAGTTGTATGAAATAACGTACTATTTTTATTTAGGTACTTTACACATATTCCTTTCAATTCCCTCTTAGTATAAACAACATATTTAAGTAGATAGGTTTTTAAAAATTATGAATAAAAACCTGTTTATACGGTTGCACTAACTGTACAAATGGAGGATAATAAGATGAGCTTTAACTCTGGCTCATTACAATTGTTTCAAGGGAGAAATTGTAATGTTAAGTTAGTAACCTATGCCCTTCTTCGTGTCATGAAAAAAATGTAGGCTAAATATAAATAGTTTAGTCAAGTTGAAACGGATGGTATACTTGTTACTAATGAAAAAGTTAAATAAATAAACTCAATCGAAAAATACAACAATAAATCTAATTTAAGACAATAAGAAAGTGATTATAATATAACTAAGACAAGATATTTTTTTGTTATCACTACTACGTTGAGAATAACAACCTATGTATAGTAAAATCAATAGAGTACGTATCATAATAAAATTGTCACATAATTAGAGCCTTCACAGGGCCGGATTTGAAGAACTCGTGACGGAGACAGATTATCAAACTCCTCGCTAAGTAGGCGAGCGTTCGCGTACAATTTTAGAAGGTCGTTATAATTGCGAGGTTACGCCTAAGTCCTCGCTAATAAGGATCATCAGTGGAGGGAAGAATTAAGGGAGCATTTGTTTTGATGTTCGCGGCTGTTCAACGTCTTAGCAAACGGCACTGTTAATAGATATTTTACATGTTTACTGCTGTTTCTCAGAAATTAATATTATAATAATGATGTTAAATTAACGATTTTGATTAGGGGTAGTCAAATGTCTTATCTTTTTACTCGACAATAGAATTAATGAGAGTTGTATATATTTAGTTGTACACATCTTTTTGACGTGGACCTTAACCTTTATGTATTTCAATGAAAATTGTGTTATTAATTATTAGCTCTTAATTGTGGCTGTGCCCTAGGTAATTATGTTATTGATAATCTGTATTTTTAGACCGCAAAACTCGAAACAAGATTTAGTAAAAAAAATTCATTATATTTCAGTTAAAGTATATAGGTACATATTTAAGTTTTTGTTATTATTAATGTTAATAAAAACTCTAACAAGTTTACACAATATCCAATGTAACAATAAAGTTTTATAATAATATTATAAAGTTTTGTATACTGGCGGAAGATATTAAATGCCTAATTTATTGTCTACCTCGTAAATATTGCCTCGAAAACGGTTTAAATGTTCAATCTCAGAAGATAGATATAGCAATTTGTTCCCGATGAGCACCTGCCTCACACGCAGGATCTCCATACATAATAAATTTAATTGAATCACAGACTCATCCGCGCCTCGTGTGCCTTATTATATTTTCTAAATATCCGCCTTGTTGCGAACGGGTTATGGCGTGGGTAGGTTGGCTCGGGAGGGGGTGCCCTCGTCTTACCAACTTCAGGCTCAGCGAAAGAGGGTTAAAAGGAGTTTTAGATGTACGAACGCTTTTGATCTTATTAATACCATAAAATAATGCTTTATAATCTTATTAAACGCGAGGTTAGCGCTCGATGCGCGCCCTCCTTCCAGCTTAACCGCCTGTCGGGTTCGCGATATCAATTTAGCGTTCTAGTGACACAGTCAAGTACTTACTAGCTAATTTGATACGATTTCAGTAAATATATATATATATATATATATATATATATAAACACCTCTTTGGGCACTTTGTTGATCACGCCACAACCTAAACACTTGCCGATTCCACCTTTTGCACTGAATAACTTGACCTCTATCGCGTATATCTCAGGCGGTATGGCAACGTCGCATTCTATTTTGCGATGTGGCCATATATATTCGTCGATAGTACGATATACTCGACACTTTTATTACTAATAATTCGTGACTGAATGGCTCCGAACGGCTAAATTTTTGGTATACACAAAGACTTTTTGGCTCTGAATATATTCCAAAAATCAATTAATTATGTTGATCACTTTATATACTCGTCCTTACTGCGATACTTATTTACATCCGAATATATATAGATACCGTAACGGTCTATCAATTATGAATTTATTAATTTACTAATGTAGATATTTTATATTCGCAATGCTCCATACATGCAAGCTCCAGCAACGGTGGAGGCAGGGTCCCCCCTGCACCGTACACCGCACCCCGCGCACACAAACAAATTAGATATTTTTTGAATACACAAAGACTTTTTGGCTCTGTATATATATTTCAAAAATCAATTAATTATGTTGATCACTTTATATACTGGTCCTTACTGCGATACTTATTTTAATCCGAATATATATAGATACCGTAACGGTCTATCAATTATGAATTTACTAATCTAGATATTTTATATTCGCAATGCTCCATACATGCAAGCTCCAGCAACGGTGGAGGGGGGAGCACCGTACACCGCACCCCGCGCACACAAACAAATTAGAATAAATTAAATTCATAAGATTATTTATATATTTCGACTGCCTCGGTGGTCACACCGCTTTACATCCGATGGTCGCGGGTTCGATTTCTCGCACGGTGCAAACAATTGTACTCATCGGTCATCGATTGTTTTCATCGGTCTGGGTGTTTTATATGTATATTATATATGTATTTACAAAATAAAAATATCTATATCAGTTCAGTATCAGTCTGTGTTAATTGTCCAGGGCTATTTATTATATATTTATAAACGGTTATCTTTTTCCATCCCACCGCTCGCTATCGACAGTGAATTCATAGAAATGTCACTCTAAAAACAATAATAGTTTTGTTTTTGTATTTCAAATACTAAATGCAAAATAGGTATTTTCAAAATACTTTTTCAAAATAAAGTACCTTTTGAATTTTTGTCCAAACCTCAGATATTTTATTTATTTTAGGTATATCAATCATTACATAGTAATATAAAAACAAAGTCGCTGTCGCATCTAACAGTACATAAACAAAGAAAGAAGACTTTTTGGCTCTGATACCGTAACGGCCTATGAATTATGAATTTATTATACCTAATCTAGATATTTTATATTCGCAATGCTACGTACATTGTAATATCCGCCTCCATTCATTGTAACGGTGGAGGGACTAAATAGTTGAATAAAACTGAATAAGCAGTTGCTCCACTCTATAGGTACTGCGTCGTCGTCGTATGCTGTTCATTTTTTCACTCGTTTTGGCGCCAAGAGAGGGTCACATAGTCGTGGTCAAGTTAAGAACTTATAATTTAATTTTGATAACAATAGATACAAGTAAAAAGTAGGTATTATATTAATGTACGTAAGTACTGCACTTAAAAATATTTATTCTATATTGTACATTTGAAAAACTTATCACTTAAGGACTTGTGTGACATATACACGTACATACTGCCATTTTCTCTTAAAGACATCCAGAGAAGCTTTAGATTTATCAAATACGCGGGGTGCACCGACCTTTGACCTTATAACACCTGATTCGCGCGTAACGAATTACATTGCTACTTTTTGGTATTTTATAGTGGATATTTCACTATAAAATATTATTATTTCTTTAGATTATGACATAATAGCATAGTTTACATGATTTTAAGGGAAACATACGATAAAAAAAATTCCCGTAAAATGTAAAAGATAAAAAATGGTTATTGTTGGTTATCCTTGAGAGATAGACATATACCATCACGGACTTTTTTGTTGACCTTATTTTGATACATCTCAAAGCACTAGACAATACGCAGTTTCATTAAACAGTATTGTATTTTTTTTATTTATTTAACTTTAATGCACAAAAAAAATTGTACATGTGGCGGACTTAATATCTTGCCGCGTTATTTACCAGGCAACCATGAGTGGTGCAGCGAAAGATTATTGGCGGTGCACTAATATAAATAAGAAATGTCAAAAAAAGATTTATAAAGATAATAAAGATAAGCAAAATATACATTTCTATAAAAAAATAACAATATACATACATAAATATATAACCCATAAATGTATAAATAAATACATAATGATCCGATAATCAAA